AATGATTATCCTGTCTCGGTGCTTGAGATTTGAGTTGTCTGGCCCGATACCATAGAAAAGCTCAATCTCTTCAAAGTTTCAAGATATCATCGAGACCTCTAGAAACTGTCGAGGGGAAAGGGAAGAGGTTTAGTGTGCGGTATTATGGCGCGCATGTTGGTCTGTTGTTTGGTACCTATTATCTTGGTTGTTTCATTTCATAAAATGATAGGTTTCCTTCTCTTGCTGTTAACCATCGCCCTATTTACTCCTCCCTGTGTTTAGAGTATTCTGGAATCATTGGATTCGCTGATTCATATGATGCCCTAATATCCCAACCTTTGATATCTGCAGAGTGATATTGGGGACAAGCTCCTGATGAGCCTAGAGCCATTGATAAATGGGTAATTGTGAAGTTGGGAAAGTCATACTTTCCCATAATACCGAACACAGGCAATCATATATAAAATATGAGATCAATAGGGATTAATTGGTCCTTATAGGTTATTAGCGAAATTAAAGATAAAGTGAGTATCTCCAAACAACCCAGTCCGTAAATTAAAGAAGTTCCAACAATACATACCAACAATTAGTAGATTTTGGATTGTGACTACGGATCAGCGCCGATACAAACCAAGTTCTAGGCGTGGGGTTCCAAAGAACATCAGCCTCGGATATGGTACATTGGCTATTCCATGTACCGGATGGCCTGATGCGGACCATCATTCTGGAGTAGCACACCGGTGCGAGTGACAGCCCATGAAGCCACTCCGAGATTGTCCGACAAACAAGTCGAACACCCTCCCACAAATTACTCCAAAGCTGCAACTCGGCTCGAATTCGGCTTATATTCGGATACATCGCTTTCCTTGCAGTCGGTATTGAACCCGATCTTGGCGATAGTTCCCGGATCCAGTACCCGGTCAGCGCCTTATTGCGAAATATTTTCTTTTTTGCAGTCGTCTTGCTGCCGGTAAGAGCTCCTCCTCTCAGAAAATTTCGATGGTGATCACTACCTGCCATTAATATCAATCGTTTCCGTGAGTAATGATGCAATCTGGTGGTGGTGTGAGTACCTACATGTACTTATCGGTGGTCCCTCCTCCACCCCCGCGGTGACCCCACCAAACCTTTAAAGACGGCACGATATTTCGATTGTTTCAACCATCCTGCAAACACCACAACCACCAAACTCCAGCATATTCCTCATATAACATATCGATATGGTGTGTTGGTGCCCTACTTACATTATTCTAATATATAATTAAAACTCGGGATTCTAATATGCAAAAAACAAAATAGGCACGCAAATTCTTCGTAGGTGGAAACTTCAAGTCTAACGGCTCAGTCTCCTCAATCAAGTCCATTATCGAGAACCTCAACAATGCCACTCTCAACCCTAACGTTGGTCCGTTCTCTCTCTCGCCCTTAAGCCCATATCAATACTAACATCCTAGGGTGCGCCACATAGAGGTCGTGATCTCCCCACCAGCCATCTACCTCCTCCTCGCCAAAGAGATCACCCGCAAAGACATCGCCGTTGCCTCCCAGAACGTCTTCGACAAGGGCAACGGCGCCTACACCGGCGAGATCAGCGCCGAGCAGCTCAAGGATGCGGGCGTGAACTGGGTCCTCATCGGCCACTCTGAGCGCCGCGCGCTTTTGGGTGAGAGCGACAAGTTCGTCGCCTCCAAGACCAAGGCCGCACTCGCGCAGGGCCTGAGCGTCATTCTGTGCATTGGCGAGAGCTTGGAGGTTTGTTTTTCCCGTCTTCTTCTTATACTCCGGTCGGGTTGGGCATTTGCTAATATGGAAGGGCGGTGATATTAGCAACGTGAGGCCGGCATCACCATCGATGTTGTGACCTCGCAGCTTGCGGCCGTTGCAGAGCAGGTCAGCGATTGGAGCAAGATTGTGATCGCATACGAGCCCGTGTGGGCTATTGGCACCGGGAAGGTTGCGACGACTGCGCAGGCCCAGGAGGTCCACGCAGCCATCAGGGCTTGGCTCAAAGAGAAGGTGTCGGAGAAGGCGGCGGAGGAGACGAGGATCTTATATGGTGGGAGTGTCACCGATAAGAACTCCAAGGAGCTGGCGCAGCAGCCGGATGTTGATGGGTTCTTGGTTGGCGGAGCCAGCTTGAAGCCGGCCTGTGAGTTTTCCCCTGGAAGAGAGTTATGTGTGGGGTTTGTTGGCTAATGATGCGTGTGTGTGTGCAGTTGTCGATATCATCAACTCTGCGTAGAGTGCTGGGGCGTCCTGTTGAAATGCTGTATACCATCAGAGATAAATAAGAAAATAATAAAAGTGTTTTGGCAATATATTATTGAATGTGCAGAGGGACATGTAGTCACGGTTCGTTGTGTGGGGAGAAAATTCACCGATGAGTATTCGACCATTTGCCTGTGGCATTGGCCTACCTATTAACTAACACAAACGAAACCCCATGCTTGATACAAACAGTGTCTACCGGGAAAAGAGGAAAGAAAGTAAACAGAAGATTAAACAAAATCTTCGCATGACATCTTAACAACAAAAGAAATGCTTATAAAGTACTATCTCTCAAGTGAAGTTTCTAGAAATGGGTCCTTAAGACCCACCACCACCACCGCACCCACCACCACCACCGCCGCCGCCGCCGCCGCCGCCGCATCCACCGCCGCCACCGCCGCCACCGTGGTGACCACCGCTATGCCCACCACCACCACCGCTCATATCTATAGCAGCAGAAGCGTATCCAGAACTAACGGCACCGGAGGTACCTCCGCTATAGCCTTGGCCATAGCCACGGCTGGCCTTTGGTGCCCGGGGACCGAGGGAGCTCGTGGTTTTTGAGGGTTTGGGCTTTCTGCCGAAACACATAGTGGTTGTGTTTATCGGTATGGATTACTGGTCTGGATAAAGAGATATGCTTGGGGTACTAGTGTTGATATAAGAGGGTTATCTATGATGAGTTTTTTTGGTGCGATATCTATAGGATGATGACTTGATCGAGTGATAGTGGATCCGGAAATTCAAAGAAACAGCGGTCCAGACCCGGTATTTATCTAGGTCTACGCTCCTCTCACGTCCCCTAGAAAGCAAGCTATGCCCCCAGATCCAGAGACCACTCTGTCATTCACGTGTCTGTTTCTCGTATTGTAGTCATACCATTCACTGCCCACCACGCACATCGCCGGTGGAGTAGTTAGTAGGGTATACTAAGGTAGAGTAACAATACTAATGCTACTTACTTCCCATCCGGTCCACCAAGGCTGACTCACGGTGCTACACACTCCACATGTCGTTATGATGCGACGATCCCAGTCTCACCCGCAGGATCGCAGAGGAAAATAAATTTAGAGTTTCTCTCTTTCTGCCGTGTCTGTCTGCCTCGTGTGTAACCATGGTCGTTGTCTGCCTTGGCAGGATGGTTACACGCGAGGGATGGGTGGTGCCTGTGTCACCAGCTAGGCCGATGGTGGACAGGGTAAACACATACATGTAGTAGGTACAATACCGGTATTGTAGTAGTACTCATTTACCACGGAAAGAACCAGAAAATGCGAGTGACGGAGACAAGGATAATTTGTATGAGGAATTGTCTTGGTCCATACAAATTATCCTTATCATCGGCACCTGCATTTTCAGGTTCTTATTGTGGATAGCGAGTACTCGTAATTTTCTAACGTTTCCGAACTGGACTGTGTCTGCATACCACCAAAATCTAGTTGCCAAGCACGATTTATACCCGTATGCAGACCCAGTCCAGTTCGGAAACGTTAGAAAATTACGAGTACAATGGCACATACATGTATGCAGGGTAGGGGTTGGGCCGTGAGGCTGATTGACAGGGTATGACGTTGAGATTGGCCGGTTGTGGGGCGGAAGGGTAGAGGGGGCGGTGGAAGGTCCGGAGGGGCGTCGTATCGTGGCTGGTATGGATTAGCAGGAGAGTGTTCTCATGATATATGTGGTTTGGGTTTGGGTTAATTATACGTTACATACTTGGGTCACCAGCACCATCGTCGATAAGTAATCAGCAGTCCACCGCACATGGCTCTCGAGAGCCTCGCTCGGGCAAGTATTGTATGGCTCGAGAAGGCATAGGGGGTGGGTGTGTCAACTTTTTTTGTATGGGAATTAGAGAAAATTCCACCGTTAGGCTGGACGCTAGTACCATTATGGGGGTAGATCTCCAAATCTCTATCTACAAACGCCGAAGTTTACACACCTACTTACTATAGCTTCATAGATAGCTGGCTACCGACTGACGTGATTAATTGGTTTTTAAATCTCTACTGAGGTACTTACTCCACGACGGTGCCAGTCGCCATAGCCTGAATTCTACCGGACTGTCTTAGATATCGGTGTTCCCACCTGGGCCTAGTAGGGTGAGCTGTTGATTGTTGTTTTACACACGGGCCGATGTTTCGGTCCGTGGGCCCCTCCTCCCGCGAGAGCCCGACTCTGTTTGGATCTATCTGTTACTTCTTAAGCTTAAGCTTGTCATTCCCTTCCCCAACCATGTCAGGCATAGGAATGGTACTATGGGGGTCGGGATAAATTTGTTGACAGTGAGATCTCGAGGACTGTTGCGACCAAGGCCGGCGCTGTCGGCGGACTTACTATAACACCCGTAGTACAACTATCCCGCTATCCCGCCCGCAGCCCTAAGACCAGAGCAGTGACCTATACATCCCGCCTATCAAGCAGCCTACCAGCCTATCAAGAGGGTTCATAAAGGGGGATCACGGGTGCTGTAGGCAGTTCAGAATGTTTGTCCACTACGTGCAAACATCACCGAGTGACACACCATGATGCACCATATCTGTGCCGTACTGCTATTAATGTCTTGGCAACACTAAGCCAACCAACCAGAGCCTTTCTTCAACTTGATTCTGCCATTTTCTACTCTCTATCCGCTTACTGACGCTACAAAACCTATCTGAAAATCCAAGATTCCTACCAGACAAGATTCACAGCCCGTAGCGGCACCAATAATAGCCTAATAACAAAAGAAAAAAAGGAAATTGGCCACTGTCTTCGTGGCTTAGTTGGTTAAAGCGTCGGTCTCATATGGCACTATGACTGGTTCTTAGAATCAGACATCCGAAGGTCGAGGGTTCGACTCCCTCCGAGGACATACATTTGGTTACTGCATAGCCCTACAATATGAATTGGGGTACGTACATTTTGTGGTATTCCCACAACCCCCCCCCCTTTCTTTTCCCACCTCTCGGCTCAACTGGGGGGTGGGTACATATTAGGGATATATATATCCTAACGTAACTACATGTAGCTAGGGGCCATCATCGTAACTCGCGATATTGCACATTAGCTTGATGACCGAAAAGATTATAACATGACACAGACCCCGATTATTTATATGAAAACCAATGGTTCGTGATAGTTTAGTTTACAAATTCACCGAAGACCCCCGGGAGAAACACCTGCCCTAAGAATATAAGCAAACAAAAAAAAAATCATGATACAAGAATAATAAAAGAAAGAAATATAACACCCCAGTGGCCCAAAAATCTATACAAAGTAAACTAACATAAACAAGCCCCAAACAAATGGAAAAAATAATACCCCGAATGCCCTGAATACCAACAATCTTGCGGGGAAAAAAGTTAGGATTAGGGGTATTTGGGGCTAATTAATTGCCCTTCGAAATCGGAAAATTAATAAAAGCCAAAAGCTACATGCTGATATCTCATCTAATAACTCCTAGCCGATAAAAATGGGTTTATCTATTTACCGCCTCGGAACCCCCCTGTATTCTTCATGATCATAAGGTTGTTGTGGATATTGAGGGCCTCGCCGCGAAGATGGCCCAGGTACATGGTGTTGCTGCCCTTGGTCCTTCAAGAGATGTGTAACTGAGCCCGTTTCGCTACGACCGTCATGTATGCTCCAATCCACCGTGGCTTCTCCTCCATCCGGACTCATCATGCTGACTCTGTCACCAAGATATGGGCTCTCGGAGCGTTTCTGCGCACGAAAACTTGGAGGCACAGGATTAGAAACCTGTTGGTAGTCCGACCCTATTGTTGATAACGACAAGGGACTAGGATTTGGTCTTCCGGTGGGAGTACCAGGTCTGGAACTTGCCGGTGACTGGAATCCAGGTGGTGGAGTAAATGTTCCAGCGTCGCTGTATGCATCAAAATTAGGCCCATATACACTACTTCCACCGTGCTCAGATGCGAATTCGGCGCGATGCTTGAAATTCTGAAAGTCCATGTCTGCCTCATCGACCATTTCAAATTGGTGAGCAAATGGGTCTTGTTGTCTTCTCCCTGCTTGTCCTGGCTGCATGAGACTCAACCCAACGTCCCCATAGGTTGATTTGTGCTGTTCCGAGTTGATTCTGCCATAGTAAACTTGGCTCAAAACGTGCTTTGCCTTGGCGTCTACCATTGGTGTAATTAAGGGGCGCCAAAGTGCGGGATGACCATATCTCTTGTCCAATTTGTCCTTACGTGCGAATTTGCCTGCACTGATCATACTCTCCCGGTCTGTGCCCTTGGTATGATAACGAATTTGAACGTCAAACACTCTACGACAATAAAACTTGAATCCAACCAAGAATACAATCAAAAGAAGTACGCAAATCGCTGCTTGGGAGGTATGTCGTACCTACGTACCATTAGTTATGGACAAGCAAACGTAGAAGGGATCGTAAACTTACCCAGACAACCAGAGCAGCCACGATATTGAAAATGCCAGTTGCAAACAAGAATCTGTTGAAGAGTAATCTCCAAAACGACCCGTCACTCTCAACCTTCGTAACAAAAATATACATGAGACAATATTTCTTGAGAAAGCTATCGACCAAAAAGTATATAAATGCAATCGGGAGGATGATGGGCTGGATTATCGAAAATACCAAGCCAATCGTGGCGTAGAAAAGGAAGTAGTTGTAATATGTTGCATACTCGAAGGCAGGCGGAGCAGTCCACTCAATCATCTGCCTTGGGGTTGGGGATGCAAATTTCCTGTAAAGACTTTTTGAAACTAATGAGACAAGCTGTGCGATATCTAGCATAGCGCCAAGATTTCTTTGTAGGAGGTAGGTTATCCAGAATGTAGAGATCTCGAACATGGCGACAACAAATCTCGTTGCAATTCCAATACTCTTAACAGCGTCCCAACTAAGCCCCGCAGTATCAGAAATTGTAACCAAGTTTTGAATGGTGGTCCAGAGAGTCTGCCCTCCTCTCAAATTAGTAATTTCATATTTTAAAGAGAACAATATATACTCACTCCGAACAAGGTGAAAATTATCAAATTGTTGACTACAAAGAAGAAGTATAGCTTGCTGGTGACATGGCGCTCACGAGAAGCCTTCGTGACATCTCCCTGCCATGCTGAGATACGTCTCATAACAATGGGAAGAAGCAGATAGATGATTGATGTAATAGTCGGTGCAAGGAAACCCTGACTACATGAATTTAGGACAATTCCGTTTTTGTAAGCATAAAACTTCGATGAAAATAAGGAAGTTGTTACATACACAATAGCAAACGCTTTATAATGTTGGTTCAAGTATACCGAAAACCCAAACCAAATCTATTATGTGTTAGAATCATTAAACGTCCACCCACACCGAAAGAATTTCTTACAGCTGCAATGTTATGAAGATTTGACAGAAATACTGCAATAAGAGCATTGGGTATCACGAAGAGGATTGAAAGCATCACGAAAAGAAAATTTCCAATCATCTTGTTCCCACGCCTTGCGCTCTTTGAGCGACTATTATATATCAGTTACTATTACTATCGTATGGGCTCAGGACAAGCACATACATCAAATTGTCCCAAATGATATCATTAGGCCTCGGTGCTAATTTGATAGTAGTACCCTTAGGGTGCTTTCCTCGAGTGGCTTTGGCAGCTATATGAGCCCTTGAGATCGTTGGAAATGACACAAACCCATATTGCAGAGCATCCCGTTTGTCGATTGTATCCCGAATAGCATAGATATGCTTCTCCAAATCTTTGATCCTCTGTCCAAGATATTCGATAGCATCCACATCCGAATCCTGTGGGACCGATTTATCATTTTTATGCGGCTTACAAACAGGTCTTCTTGCAGGGAGATTATCGGGATTCTTCAAGTATTTCGCAAGAAACCCTTCAAGCTTTCTGACAGCTTTCCCATGCTCGTCGATAAGCCCCGGAAGATCCTTGACGTTTCTCCCTATGGCGCATCTCTCATCGCCATGGTGAGGGACACTGAGCGTTCCGACTATCTTACCGATACCATCATTGGAACGATATGAGCTTGGGATATCCGTGATCTAATACTGTATTGTCAGCTCGGTTTCACTAATAAACAGCCTAGTATTTAGCGTACCATCAATGTTCTCGAATGAAGTGACGCATGGTACTCGGGAGTCTCGAAAAAATCCTTACGCATAGTTGTGATGGCGGCATAATTTGTATATAGGAAATACATGATGATAAAGTTGAAGACCCAAGCGATGATGACATGGGCCCACATGCAGCTGCCCCAAGTGTAAGTAGGGCTCATAAGGACAAGCCACTTTCTCGAGCTCGAAGTCCCATTTACGTCTGTCCAAGAATTCTTTAGGTTACAGCTGACGTTGACTGGAATCATGATCGCGCAACCAAGAATGGCCAAGACAAGAAATATGTTTCGGCACATTCTTAAGAATCTCAGAAAGACGATGGCATCAAGCCCGAGCTTTGGTAGGAGATCCGCCTCGTGGCACCTCAATAGTGGCGTAAGCCATGTAAAGTATCCCTTCTCTATCCGCGGCGGCGCGTGCTTCTCATCTGCATTCCGCAGTTTTGGAGCGTAAACGACAGAGTTATAGGGTCGAACAAAGCACCATGCTAATAGTATCGCTGCTGATATCCCTAAAGATGATCCTAGAGACGCAAATAAAGCGTCTGTACTGAATTCCTGCCGGAAGGGAGACTGGACCATATCAAGGAACAACGAAAGCTTCTGGTCCATTTCACGTCGGAATAGGTGATTAACACCGTCGACTAGACAGGTACCCATATTGTGCACAGTAGTAGTAACGAATGACTGAAAAAATGAATGACAAGTCTCAAAAAGTCGAGACGGAGGCCAGAGGAGGCGTAGACAAGGAAACGAATGTTGAGGGCCCTAGATATTTGTGGGGGAGGATAAGTGTAAGTTTGGAGACGATAGGCAGATATTTAACGCAAGCTGCGACGGAGATGGTGGCTGCCAAAAGTAATACAGTCCTGCAGTGTGGCTATTGTCCTGTCAAAAAAATTCGGAGCTGGGTGCGTCGTGTCGTGTGACGCCCACTTCGTTTCCCTTTCTCAACGAGGAGCGTTTTTTTCTTTCCTGGCCCGCACGAAGCTACAGTGGCTTCCAAGATCACAAGAGTCCTGAAAAAGAAAAGAGGGAAGGTAGTGGGGGGAGAACAGTAGGTAGACCGGCTAATTCGGGAAGCTGATGGGAGCTATTGGGAGTTAAGAGAATAGGTATTCCCTTTCAATTGTGAGTGACAAACAATAGAAAGGGATAGAGGGACGAATGGAAGAAGGGTAAGACGGGGTCTCTCTCCAACCATTAGCAGAGATTAGAGAGGTCTATCACTATCCAAGAACCTGGAGAAACAAGTCCAAGAGAAGTATTACGGCATCCTTTTGGTCCTTTCAAGATTTCCACCCGGAAATCCCTACCTCTCTACCCACCCCCTGTCCACTATTTTGGGAAACACCAGCTGTCTCGGCCATCGGGAGGATCTCTGGGCATCCACACCAGAAAGAGATCTTCCAGGCCTGTTCGAATGAATTGGTCTCATTTTGCCATGTTTAAATATTCAGAGCTCTTTTTTTTTTCCATCTACTGAGGCAACAGATCTCGCGAACTGGTTCAGGGACAAAGTGCAGAGGAGTTGAGATGCAAGGACGTTGAAACTGCCCTTTGTCGCATCGGCAGCCTTACTCCAAGGAAGTTTTCCTTATGTAGTTAGGCGCTGTTGGGTCCAGTCTTCCAGAAAGCAACGGGCAGGGCCCACCGGCACCGTTTACGGTGTGCAGTCGTTCCTAGGTCAACGGCGAGCCCTGTTCGGTGACGAATGGGCAAATCGAACCAAAAAAGCGCATCGACCCCGGGTCGGGTTCGCCGTTG